TATTTTTAACCTCTGATTTATTATCCTAGTTGTCAAATATTTGACTTAAAGGGGGGCTTTCACCTAGCTCACTGATTCCAGATTCATATGGCATTTCACATTTCTTATAGTCTTGGCTACTACTAATATTGCCTCCATTGATGTTGTCCAGGTCCATTAACAATAAGCCTGCAAAGTTTTGTGCTCAGTTCTCAGTTTGGTGTTGTCATCCATTCTGAAATCTCTGGGATTTGGGAAGAGCTGTTAAATGAATGAGCTCACACATATGAATTATTATCTGGCATAGGGTTTTGTTGCCAATCAAAATAGAAGTGTTGGGCTCAGTAGTAGTGCACTTATCAAGCAAGCATGAACATGATCTCCAGAACTGCCTAAAGAAGGACAGAGAGGAAAAAGGAAGAAAGGAAAAAGTAATGGAGTGAAGAAAAGAGGGTTGGAGGGAGGTATAGTCAGAGATGAAGTAAAAGAAGGAAGGAAGGAAGGAAAGAAGGAAGAAAGAACTATTTACAAATCTGCCATGTCTGTTGACCTTTGTCATCATATCTGGTCTCTCATATTTCAATGTTTGCTCTTCCAAGTTCCTGTCTACAATGCTGGATTCCCATCACCATTTTCTTGGTGTACCTTGCAGTGGTTCAGGGCAATTCCCTATCACCCACAATGTCTTCACTGACTCATGTATTCTTTCTTTCCATGCTAGCAGAGACTGATTGTCATCTCTGTGTGTCAACCACACTCACACTCACAGTACTGGGACTATTAAGACTACTCCATAATCACCCATTTGTGTGTCTCTGAGATCTATTTGTATCCCAGCTCTATTTACTCCATACTTTTTCTTTCCTGGAGTCAGCTAGGCTTTGACCTTGCCATATAGTCACTTTGTAGCAACACCATCCCTCTGAGATATCTCTCACTATTCAACAGCTCTTGGGTAGCAAGAATTAGAGTTGTTGAGAATTCAGAGTGTGTTGCTCACCATTCCTTTTGGTCTGTGTCTCCCAGGTTTTACCTAATGTCATGAAAATTTTCTCATTCCTACTGTCTGCACCTCTCCTGATCACACTTCAGCAGCTCTCAGCTTTTTTATCACCATGGGTTCAGACTTGCTTTTCACATTGCTTTCTTAACATAAGATTCTCAAGTCTTTAAAGGTCATTGCTCCCAGGTGGGGGTGAGTAACACAATTTTCCTACTGCATGTGTATCTCACATCATGGCTGTCCTAGCATGTTGTGTCCCTAAGAGAGGGCTTTCTATCATTTAACGTTTACAAGGCATTCCTCCTCCTTCATTTTTATTATCATGAGCAATGTGCATACTTTTCCATTACTGATAAATCCAGCATAAGACCCATAAGAAAGGTGTTCTCTTTGAAATAGAAATATAACGTTCTAGTTAACTCCCCCTTAGCTAAATTAATTATCCTATTATATGACATGTGATATGATTATATTATAATATTATATAATGAGATCATATGACAATGTATTATTAAACACATTGTCAATTATTACAAGACATAAGACTAAAAGGGAGCATTGGAAAATTTGGATAGGAAAGACAAACCTGGTGATAAAAGAGAAAACTGGAGTTAAGTATCAGATACATTTTGTCCCCGTAAAACATCCTTAGCTTAAATTTTTTGCACAGTTTGTCAAAAAAAGAAAGAAAGAAAGAAAGAAAGAAAACTCTACTAAAAGAAGAATCATGATGTTAAAAATGTACTATCGTGATGTTATTAGTCTTTTGCTTACATTCTTAGCCCGTTATTGTGATCCCTGGGGCTATGCAAATTTCTGCACCGCTCCCCCCCCCCCTTTTTCTGTTCTAGTGTCTATGTAAGCTATTGCATACTGATTTCTCTTAGCACTCACACAACTCTACTTTCAAATCTACTTGTGGTATCTACTTATAAGTTCATACCAATCCTCATAACATTTGGACTTATTAGACTGTCTACTTGTATTCTTTTGCTACATAAAATCCCATTAATGTTCAAATGAATGTCAGACACAAGGATTCATCCAGAGAATAAACCAACCACAAACCAACCTACACTTTTGACTCCCTTCTGCTCCTAAAGTTTGAAAGATTCCGACTGAAGCATTTGTCAGGACATCTTGGGTTCATCTGCACTGTATATACATAAAAATTGTTTTTATGCTATTTTTTTTCTTATTTTTGGTATGGTAGTCTAGCTTTGTGAACCAACAAGTTCTTCTTACTTTCTATCATGAAAGAGTAGTATTGAATTTTATTTTCATATCATCACATCACCATATTGAGGTCTGGCACTGCTGATAGGAAAGCTTAGCTATTTGGTGTGAAGTTACTACATACTTTTTTAAAAGTACATAATGTGGAAAAGGTCTACATTCCTGGTTTCTGAGGTATTGTATGTTTTTTGATGGAACTTTCTCCCAGAATCACTGTCTGTGACTCAGTAACACTCACCAGAATGTTCCTGTCTCTTTTTCTTGAGAAAATATATTTACCTTATTTTATTCCCAACAACCCCCAAGGTAAGTGGACATTGTTTATTTCAGTATGCTAAATTAAAAGTCAGTATTTTCATCTAGGAAGGATATATGTTTTCAACTAAATCAACCCAAATATCAAGAAGAAGTAATTTACATGTAAAATGGAAGGAATACTTCTGCAATTATATGAAACACTTAAATCTATGACAACAATTGATGATTATTTTTATCACTTTTTCATAAATTAAGGTTTTGTTATTAGTTTCTTATATAAGAAACACTATTCCTTCTCTCAGGTTTGCCTTTACAGGCACTTAGATGTGAGCCAAGGGAACTTTCCAGGTCACTTTTTGTGCAATTGACTAGAATGAAATGGATTTTGTGCATACCATCTTCCCTCTAGCAGAACTGATAGAAAAATTCAATTGGTGAGCCATTCCTGGGAAGAGTCACTGCATGTGTCATGAGCATCAAATAAAGAATCTATTGTCCACAAAAAAACCCTAGCAAGGCTGTCAATTTCATATTCTTTTGTAAATTCTGATACACACACACACATATATATATATATATATATATATATATATA